TTGGAAAAAAAACGAAAAAGGAGCCGTTTTCTAATTTTTCTACTTTCAATATTAAATTAAAAAAACGAATGATCCACGGATTTATTAAAATATACTAAAACATTTGCTAAAATTAAAGTAAAAATAAAAAATAAAATGTCATTCAAAATATTAACAAAAATTATAATAGTATCTCAATGATACTAAAATAACACTGATGTATGTACATTATATATATATATATATATATATATATATTCCTATGTGTTTCCTAGATAATATAATATTTTATAGTCATCTTAATGTTTAATATTATAATAATTTCACATTTCAACCATTTGCTTTTGTACAATTACAAAATAAATATATATAAATATACATTATCTGATTTAATAATCTGTTTCCTTTAATTCTTTGCGTATGTATGTGTAAAAATGCTTTGCAACAAATCTCATTCTGATTTTGGAAGCAATTTTTGATTCAGCTGTCTAATAAACAGTATAGATGACTTATGTATGATATATGATAATATATGTGTGTGTGTGTGTGTGTGTGTGTGTGTGTGTGTGTGATTTATAAAAGGTCATATGACACTGAAACTGGAGTAATGTTGCCATCACAGAAAAAATGTACTTTTTAAAATATATTAAAGTAGAAAACTTTTATTTAAAATTGTAAAAATATTTCACAATTTTACTGATTTTACTAAATTTTTTATTAAATAAATACAGTCTTGGTGAGCACCAGAGACTAATTTTTAAAAAATCCTCCCGGCCCTAAAATTTTTAATAATAATAATAATGCTGTGAAAAGGATGTTTCACAGCCCCCTTCCTGTTTTTTTTTTTTTTTTGCATATTTGTCACACTTGAAAGATTCAGATCATCAAACAAATTTTAATATTACACAAAGATAATGCAAGTAAATACAAAATGCAGTTTTTAAATGATGATTTAATTTATTAAGGGAAAAAAGTTGTCCAAACCTACCTGGCCTTACGTGAAAAAGTATTGCCCGCTCCTGTTAAATCATGAAAGAGCTGTGATTAAGCACATTATGTTAGAAAGCGGAGTTAAATTTCACTAGCCACACGCAGGCCTGATTACTGCCAGACCTGTTGAATCAAGAAATCACTTAAATAGAACCTGTCTGACAAAGTGAAGCATGCTTAAAGAGCAACACATCATGCCACAATCTAAAGAAATTCAAGAACAGATGAGAAACAGAATAGTTGACATGCATCAGTCTGGAAAGGGTTATAAAGCCATTTCTAAAGCTTTGAGAGTCCAGCGAACCACGGTCAGAGCCATTATCCACAAATGGAGAAAACTTGGAGCAGTGGTGAACCTTCCCAGGAGCAGCCGGCCTTTAAATTACTCCAAGAGCGCAGCGACGACTCATCCAGGAGGTCATGAAAGAACCCAGAACAACATCTAAAGAAGTGCAGGCCTCACTCGCCTCAATTAAGCTCAGTGTTCATGATTCAACAATAAGAAAGAGACTGGGCAAAAACGGCATCCATGGGAGAGTTCCAAGGCAAAAGCCACTGCTGACCAAAAAGAACACGAAGGCTCGTCTCACATTTGCCAAAAAATATAATGATTATCCACAAGACTTTTGGGCAAATATTCTGTGGACTGATGAGACAAAAGTTGAAGTTTTTGGAAGGTGTGTGTCCCGATACATCTGGCGTAAAACCAACAGCATTTCATAAAAAGAGCATCATAGCAGCAGTCAAACATGGTGGAGGTAGTGTGATGTTCTGGGGCTGCTCTGCAGCTCAGGACCTGTCAGCTCATGAAAGATGGGGGCAAAAACAAAAGTGTTGCGTTTATAATTTTGTTCAGTGTATATATATGCATGTTTGTATGTTTGTATATTATGAAGTGTGTCCCTCAGAAGGATAGCAGTAGTTGTTGATGTTGTTGATGTTCAGTCTCAGATCGGCTGTAAGCTGCTGGCTAGTATCATGCAGTACACCTCCTGCTCCAACTATTTCTGGATGTTGTGTGAGGGGATCTACCTGCACACGCTCATCATCGTGGCCGTGTTCGTGGGAGAGCAGCAGCTGGGCTGGTATTACGTCCTCGGCTGGGGTTTGTGCTGCCATTCCCTTCACGCTCCAATCTGACGCTGCATCCGTGTCTTTATGAAGCAAAATCAATTCATCTCTGAGCTTCTCATGACCTCACTCTCAGAAATGACTCGCTTACTCAGAATGCCAGACTCATATTTCTGTGTCAGCTTTAAAAAACTACTGCAGATGTTTTAGATGGTTGCTTATCAATTTATTTAAGTAAAATATTTTTGTTAATTTATTTTATGTTGTGGTGTGTTTTATGTATCACATTTATGTATTTCTGGGGTTTAGGAGGTTGATTTTTTGAGGTTGAATATACCAAAATATACCAAATTTACCAAAATTGTTGTAATGTAATAATTTTACACACTCACACGCACTCACTCACACACACTCACACACACACTCACGCACTCACACTCACACACTCTCTCACACACACACACACACGCACTCTCTCACACACACACTCTCTCACACACACACGCACTCTCTCTCACACACACACACATATATATATATTTCAGCTATTAACAGTAACTAATTGAATAAAAAATTTGTGTGTGTACACTGCTGTTCAAAAGTTGGGGTCAATAACAGTTTTTTTCTTTCTTTTTTGAATTTTGCTACAAATTTTATTCATCAAGGACGCATTAAATTGATCAAAAGTGTCAGTAAAGACATTTATAATGTTACAAAAGATTTCTATTTCAAATAAAAGCTGTTCTTTTGAACTTTCTGTTCATCTGTGAATCCTGAAAAATAAAATGTATCACAGTTTCCACAAAAATATTGTGCAGCATGACTGTTTTCAACATTGATGATAATCAGAAATGTTTCTTGAGCAGCAAATCAGCATATTAGAATGATTTCTGAAGATCATGTGACACTGAAGACTGGAGTAATGATGCTGAAAATTCAGCTGCGCATCACAGAAATAAATTACAGTCTAACAGATATTCACATAGAAAACAGCTGTTCTAAATTATAATAATATTTCAAAATATTACTGTTTTTTTCTATATTTTTGATCAAATAAATGAAGCCTTGATGAGCAGAAGAGACTTTAAAAAACATTAAAAAAAACGTTTTGAATGGCAGTGCATATATCTTATAATATAATATAATCTTCTGTTGACTTCATAATCTAATGTTCAAGAAATGAAAGATTGAGCTCTTTACACACATCACCAATGATTTTTGTTTTTTCCCTGCAAATATGTTTTTTGTCTGTTTTTTGCAGGTTTCCCAGTGATCCCTGCAGTCCTGTATGCTGTAGCCCGTCTGCTCTTCCACGATGACAAGTAAACATCACATTTCTGGATTTCACACTTAAAACTGAACTCTAAAGATGTAAATGTTCACTTTCAAATCCTGAAATGCCTAATATTTGACGTTTGCTCCAGGTGTTGGATCATGAATATAAACCTGCTGTACATCACACACAGCCCCATACAAGTCGCTCTGCTGGTGAGCTTCATCATCATCATCATCATCAGTGCTGGGGAAAGTTACTTTTAAAATTACAGTATTGCGTTACTCCATAAAAAGTAATGGGTTACTTTACTTTTGCATTAATTTTTCTCATCTGGACTGGGCTCGCTTGTTTGTTTTTAATACAAAAAGTTTTATTTTCAGCAAATGTAAAAGCCCTTTCACGCCAAAAGTGAAATGAATTAGCTGCAGGCTGAAGGAAATATACATTTGTGAAGCTAATTTTGAGCTACACGCAAAAAAAGTGAAAATATCGATTTTAGTCAAATTTGATGTTTTCACAAAAATGAGTTCATTAAGCCCTCGTCTAGCGATCCCAATGCTCCAAATAGTATTTAAACATCTACAATTATCTTTAGTTGTACGTTTTCTGAGTATTCTCTCAACATGGCAACACAAGAGCTGTCATGGGAAACAAAGTAACTGGCGTTACTTATTTGAAAAAGTAACTCAGATATTTCCTTCTAATCCTTCTAAAGATTTCTGAATTTTCTGAAGATCATGTGACACTGAAGACTGAAAATTCAGCTTTGATCACAGAAATAAATTACATTTGAACAGATATTCAAATAGTAAGCAGTTATTTTAAATAGTAGAAATATTTCACAATTTTACTGCGTTTGCTGTATTCTGGATCAAATAAATGCAGGCTTGGTGAGCAGAAGAGTATTCTTCAAAAAACATGAAATATCTTACTGTTCAAAAACTAGATTCTAACTGTTGTTACTTGTAATGCATTTCCCCCGACATGCAGCGATCTTCAGTCTGTAATCTCTCTCTTCTCCTGACAGGTGAACCTGTTCTTCCTGCT